GTGTGTGTGTGTGTGTGTGTGTTTGGGAGTTTATGTTTGTGTGTCTGGGCAGCCCTCCCCCAACAATCATTCAATTGTTACGATCCTGGTCGTTTCCCAAGTGCAATTCACAATGAAAGACAATGCCACCCAATTGCGAAAGAAATGAAAGCACTTGCACAGAGATAAAGACCAGAGAAGAGAGGCGAAGAAGAAGAAGAAGAAGAAGAAGAAGAAGAAGAAGAAGAAGAAGTACACCAGCAAGACCAATGACAATTCCCCCCTTCTCTCTCCAACCTCCTCCTCCTCCTCCTTCACTTCACCAATCTTATTCTTCTCTCAATAATAATAATAACAATGAATGGATGAACCAGAAAGGTCCAGAATCAATATCCGAAGTTTCCTCTTACTGCTGACTCAACTCCACAACAACAACAACAACAACAACAACAACAACAACAACAAGCCCACCATAGCTATGGCTTCCCTATTTCAGCCTTCCCTCTCATGCACAGGCTATGGCGGACTGATGAGGGCCCTGCCCTCCTGTACAAAACACAACCCAAAGCAGCTATGGTGTTGCCAATGTCCAAAGGATAACCCAAGAGCAGCTATGCCGCTGCTGACTGGTCCGCCATGCCTGACTCTGCCTTGAGCTTCCTTGCTGCAGTGCTACCCCAACTGGGGCCTTCCGGATGCAGCGCCCAACAAGGTGATGAAGACGGTGTCCACCATAGCCAGGTAAGTGCCTCAACACTCTCCTACCATGCCCCTTCTTCCTCCTCCTCAAGCTGGACTGCTCGCCATAGCCAGGCTGAGCTCTAGTGGTCCCTTCTCCCTCCAAGCAGCGCTGTACCTCCAGCGCTGTGCTCCAGCAGCATGTCGCCAATCCTTGCACACCGCAAATGAGGAAGAGCTCTTTGCTCTTCCTAGAGATATAGCGGCCTACTGGCCTGCTGGGCGGTGACTTCCTAGGCCGAGCGGCCTCCCAGCAATCGGTACCTCCTCCCTTTCGGAGGGAAACATCATTGCAGGCTCTGCTATCCTCCGGACAGGCCCTAGACCCGGGCTACTTGGACTGGTACCGGCCTACCTCTAACCAACAGCCTACCGCTACTGGGCCTCTAAAATTGCCAACTTTTTGCTCGGCCTTCAGTACGACACTCATACCACTACTCGAGTGGTACCGTCCTACCTGCTACTCGAGTGTTTCCCCCCTGCTCTAAGTGTCGTGGGCCTACCCCCGCTACTTGACTGTCTACCCCCCGTTCAACCTTGACGGTCACGGCCACAGGTAAGTACTGGCCCTGCGGGGCCTTGCAAACAACAAGTACCCTTGCGGGTCACACACTCTCAACCGACAAGCACACAGACAGCCATGCAAAGCAGCAGGCATGCACACACACACACAGACATGGAAATCACAGCAAGGGGAACCTCCAGCGCACGACGATTGCGGGCGCAGCCGCGGGCGCAGGCCCCGTCGTTCGCTTACCCGTCAAATGACGAAGCCGTTCGACGGGGATTCAACGGAGTTGAATCCATTCAACGGGGATTCAACTCCCGTTCAACGGGTTCAACGGGGATACAACGGACGGGGTCGGAGACAAACCCCTGTTTTTTAGTTCATGTCACCGGCGCTGCGTGCCCGGCGGCCGTTGCGTGCGGTCTGTTGAACCGAGTTCAACGGAAACCCCCCGTTGTATCATTCAACGGGGATTCAACTCGGGTCTTTTACCCGTTCAACGGGTACAACGGAGTTGAAAAAATCCCATTGATAGTTGAATGGACACACAGGCAGAGGCCAAATTGACTGGGGAGAATTGGTGTACCCATCTGCCGAACCCAGGTACCTACACCAGAGGTGCTGCCTGGTGAAATTCATGTTGAATGGGATTAGACGTGCTGTCGGACTCAGCTTAGCCCTGGTACCTACACCGCGGTTCGGTCAGGTCACCCCAAGGCTGGAGTGTGGCAATCCTGAGTGGTAGACACTGAGGTAGGATAGTGGGAGTAGGAGTGCGCCGGGAGAAATTACGAAAGAGGTTGGTTGGGAGGGAGTCCTATACGATCAGGGGGCCTCTACTGTCTACCACATGGCCGAGTGCCAAAGGTGACTCTCATATGTCTGTAATCCGGCCTCGACAACATGGCCGCCTGCGGCGCACTTAGTGCCAACGGACTGTGATAGTCCTCTGGATACCCCTGATCGGTATTTGTGGGGTCTATGACAAACACGGGTGTGAGTGTGAGCTCGAGTAGGTTGTGTGTGGTGTGTGGGAGAGTGTTGGCCATAGCCTCTGCTGCTACTCGATGAGGGGTGGGGGACGATGAGAAAGGGAGGCGCAGCTACTGGCAAAATGCTCAGTCTTTGCGTTAGCCGGACCCCCACCGGCGGCCCCACCCAATCTCTGACTTCCGCTGTTGGGGCGGGGGGCAACATGAATTACCTCGTTTGCGAGGCCTATGCTTGCAGAGGTCCCCTCTATATAGTCTTAGGAGTAGTGGTAGGAAGGTAGTGAAAGGCAAAAAAAGAATTTGAGAGAAGAACATAGTGTAGTTAAAAAAAAAAAAAAAAANAGTGTAGTTAAAAAAAAAAAAAAAAAAAGAAAAGAAAAGAAAAGAAAAGAAAAGAAAAGAAAAGAAAAGGAAGTGCTGTAAGAGGTCTACATCTCAGCTATCCATGCCAAGCTAAAAACTGCCCTGCGCGCCTGAAAAGGAAGGAACCGGCACGAGCCTGCCTCTTCTTGGATGGAGCCACCAGCCACATTGACTTCGGTCCCGTAGTACGGGACCCCTCTTGGCTCTCCCGAATATACCGGCACATATTTGATTTTCAAGCGGGAAAAGGTACTGGTGGCTTAATGAGTAGGACTGCAGGAGAGACAGGGGGCGAAGAGAATTTAGTACCTTAAACCACCAGTACCTTTCTTATATATCGGCTGCGGGCAGAAGGGAAAAAAAAAGGCGCGAAATGGAAAATAGGCGGTCGATTCAATTCAATTCATCAATGGCAGCCTGATCCGGCTTGGCTTCGGCGTTACCCGGGGCCTCAGGCCCACATGCAGCGTGTAGTGTAGTTTGTGCGCAGGGTGTGACAGGCCGTAGCCGTCCAGAGGCCACAGATCGGACGGCATATGGCGAAGAGGAGCGTTTTAGAAATGGTGCACCTCTTCCATTGATACATGTCATTTTCCCATTTGTTTCTGGCGAGGAGGGAAGGCAGGCAGCGTTTGTTAGGAAGCCGTGTAGTTAGCCAGCTTCTGAAAAGCAGGGTGGCTAACTACACAGCGGAGTTTGGTCCGATGGACTGACAAGTTATGAAAACGGTGCGAAATAGGGCCTGGGGGCGGTCGTGGTTCCAGGCCGCAGACCTGTGAATCTGTCAGTCTCCGGAGTGCAGACAAGATCGCCCCGTACTGAGGCTGAAGAACACTATTGATTTTCTCCCCTACCTCTGGTACGTGGAGTATGGACCTCAGTAACTGTAGTGAGGGGTGTGGGATCTCTCAGTCTCCGAATGTCCAAAACGATACTGACTCATCCCTGGCGCATGAACACATACATAATACATTGCCTTTTTTTTTGTCTGCTCTGCATGTGGAGAGTAGTGCGGGGAGGCTGAAAGTGAAGGGATCACAAAGGCGGGAATTTGAATCCGCCGTTGCAGAAGAGCTCATGTTTTTTTTTTTTTTTTTTTTTTTTTTTTTNATCATCGCTCAGGAAATGCCTCTGGGCCAAGTGTGGGGATATTTGTTTTTTCATGGGCCGGCCCTTTCTTTGGTCTGCGGAGATCAAAGGCAGCACTCTATATGGCCTCCTGCGAAGATCGGCCGCACCCTCACTTGCTGCACAATTTTTACAATGATGGGACCACCGTGACACATGGCGCAGCGCCATGGCACAGACAATATTGCGGATGGACATTTCCCCCTCTCAGCTGTCACACCGTGTAGTTTTCAGGCACTACACGGTGCACGGGGGCCGAGGCCCCCGGCACGGAATAGATTTTCAAAAAGCGGGGGAAGGTACTGGTGGTTTAACACCCATTTCGTCAAAATGGACATCCAATATTTTTCAAACGACGTTGAAACCTACTGTTGCAATGGCCCTAAAAAATGTCACTGTTTTAGCTTCGGAATGTCCATCTGGACTTTGGTGAAGTCCAAATGCATCCAAGCGGGTGGGCGGTTTTCAGACGGTGACATTCTAAGGGCCAAATAAGTAGGTTTCAATTTCCTTCAAAAAAACATAAAATGTTTGTCGGCTGTTCCTTGATTTCTTCCTCCTCTTCCAAGCTTCATCTCCAAGTCAGCCTGCCACAG